TAGCCCCTGTAGTTCTAATAGAGACCCTACTCCCCATACTCAACCAGATCCATACCTCCCAATTACTGTGATGGCTTCCCCAGGACCCTGTTCAAGATGAATGTAACAGTCTCATGGAAATTGGGGCCCGTGGTAGCCTCTGGTATACCTCGCGGGTGAATAGTATACCTGGTCTTGTTCTCCTTAGGCTTCAGCTGCAAGGCCACAAACTTCTGGCAGTGCGAATGGCAGGATTCCAGAGCGTTGAGGGACGCCACGTGCTACGAGGAGATTTCGGACACCTGGGACTCAGGGGTCGTCTGTTGGCGGAGATCTACCTCCTTCCACAAGTCCACCTTGATTTCCCCTGCCCAGTGTTCCAAGGCCTCACGAGTCAGCACAGCTTGCTTGCAGCCCGGATGTCTGAATTCACAGGTGCACCCACCAAGCTGGAAGGCCGTGAAGGAAGTGAACTCTAAAAACCCAATGGGAGATCGTGGTTCCCGCAGATCTGGAATTAGTATCGGAGAGGACGGCAGTCATGCTTGCGATGCAAGTTCCCATTGTACTGAAGAAGCCGATGGAGGAACTGAATTCGGATCTCGGGGTTTCCCATGGTTGCCTTGTGCTTTTGACATGTAGTTTCAGGAGGAGAGAGGCTGAATAGTCCACTAATAAACCGCTGCAGTGGCTCGAAGCTCGGTTACATGCCACCACTCTCAACCATGGCCAATCTTAAGTCTAAATTGTCTTTAAAATTACTACGCCTATGTGATTGCTTTGTTCCTAAAAATAACTAACGCAACAGTTGGTGACACCCAGGGGAAAGTTGTTTTTATGGATGCTGTTAAATGCACACTAAATTCTAACTTAACATAAAAATTAAAATGTATTTGATTCACCAATTAAAAGAATTGGGGTTATGTTTTAAAACGCTGAGGCAGTCATTTTCTCACTCTGCAAGTTCATTACTTCCAACTACATTAAACTCCCCCCTCCCCTAGCCATTTCTAAACCTTTCGCTTCTCCACTACCTCTTTGGCTCACCCTATAAACCCTTGGCTTTCCTCCTTTTTAACCTCCTTCCTCTCCTTCCCCCTTTTTCTTTATATGTCAGGGTTGCTTTGCACACCTTCTGTTGTGTCTGGGATGAACCTTGTGTGACCTGTTAACCTGCAATGGTGTACTATGTATGTATTCCTAATATTTGACACCTTTCCTGCAACCTTTTATATTTTACAAACTTTCTAATACAAATTATTGAAAAATTTGTTAGAATAAAAGCTGGTTGGTGCTTAGTTGCTATAGGTTGTTGCATTCTGCAGGCAGCTCTTTACCCCATAAAATAAGGTAATTGGATTGATATCCTTTTAGTTTAATAATGAGATTAGCAGTTTGTTTAGGTATAAAAATGAGTACAGCTGTAGATGAATCTTTCACTGTATTAAATGCCAATGGGTGGCAAGAAGGTAAAAACAGAAATTTAGATGCAGAAAAAATAAAGTATGCATACAGCAAAAAGAGAAAAAAAATCCACACACAAAATGTAGACGTACATGTCTCTACGTGAAGTTATGTGCTTTGTCACGTGTCTCTTGCATCATTTTATTAACTGGATTAGAGACTTAATGTAAATAGGATTTGTTGGTTTTAAGAGTCTCAACCATATGCCTGTTTCTAAACATACTGAGGCTGTACCTATTTCTGTCCACCAACGTCAGTAGCAATGCAAAACAAATGTGACGTGTTGTTTTTCTAACCAAATGGCTTCAGAGACATGGCTAGAGACATGAACAGAGGCCTAAACAACCAAATCTCGTTGGTGTGTCTATACAGTAATGTTCCAAAGTGTCAGTTTACTAGCAAAAAAAAAAATATCAATACACTAGACAGTAATGTGTGATTCTACCATATACATGAACATACTGTACATCATACAAATGTGTGAAGTCAGGGGCACAGTGGGCCAAGTATATAGGGTAAAATTACTTTTAAAGCACCTAATGGCGGTCCGTGCACATACAATACACATCCTACAGCTCTGCCTCCTTGTTGCTGCAGTCAAGTGGCCAGGGTACATGGTATATAGCAGGCGGGTGGTGACAGCAGTGTGTGTGGAAGTGGATGGCTGGGCTGCAATTGACAGCACTCTAGGCTGTCAATTGCATAGCCTGGGCCACCCACCTCCCTGGAGTCAGTGATAGCCGCCACTGTGCTGAGGAAGACCATCTGCATGACACCCTGTCTGGCTGCCTACCTGCCTGATGATGTAGGTGCTTCTAAGGCCCCTTTAACACCAGTTGATGTTTTGTCACGGTTTGTTTTTTCCGTGCTGTAACGCAAGCAAATAGAAATCCCATGTATTCCTAATTGGAAGCCATTCACGCAAATGTGCTGAATCGCGCATAATACGCCCGTTGTTTAAAATGGTCCATGAGCTTCTTTTGTTGCGCTTATCAGCTTGTTTTGCTCTATATACTTCAATGGAAACACGCTGATCAGCACGTTTTGTGCGCTTTTTCTAGTGCTTTTCTGCAACTGAGACTGCTTTTTCATTGGACAGCTGAAGATTAGCCTTTAAAACGTGCTTGCATATAAACAGAAAAAGCATGTGAAACACGCAAAAAAAAAACACCTGAAAAAGAGCCGAAACGCTGTCACCCTGGTGTGAATGGGGCCTATTGCGTAAAAAAGCTCTAAAGGTTTTTCGGCAAGTAAAAAGTAAGATGTCTGATTTGGTTTTCTGACGTAAAACACAAAAAATGGTATAGAGAGTGAAACAAAAGTGATTCGGGGTTATTTTGGACTATTATGCATTGCAGGAGTCTGGATTGTAACGTGCTTTGGTTGCATAAGGAGTGCTGTTGTACATGTTTTGAGCTTTTGTATAGAGATTACAACCAATGTATTTTTGTGAGGTGTGTGTGGTTTTATTGTTTTTTTGAGGTCTGACTTGCAGCAGATAATTCAGAAGCATGCGCACAGCTGAAATTGCCATCCCACAGGCCAGACATACCACAATACACCCATACACCTATCGATTATCATTCGAACGATGATTTCCGAATGATAATCGATCAGTTGATGGGAACCCAACAATTTTTGTTTTAATTTATTTTACTCCTCGTCGAATTTCCTGGATCAGTCAGGCAGGAAAACATTTTCACTAATGATTTTCACAACGACATTGGTCTGTGCATGGTCCGAGCAGAAAACAAACGAGGGTTTGATGACGGCACGAGACAAACGAACGATAATCGCAAAGTGTATGGCCAGCTTTTGCCATCAAAAACAGGGTTTGCAGTGAAACTTTAAATCCTGTTTACTTTTCATTACATGTAACTATGAACGTGTTTTTTGGGTGCACCTGTTAATCAGTTTTTGCACTCATATTTGTGCTCCTAATGGCAAGTTAAAATTGGTTATATATTGTCTTTAGCTTGACATTGGCAGTACAAATATTGGTACAAAATTGGAAAACTAACGCGGTTATTTACAAAAGGGAAGGGCACAATGTAGGCCAAAAAGAGCTGATTTGGAAAAATTCTCATTCAGCTCATTTTCCAGTTCAGTTATGCTGTCCTAGATTTAATAATTTCTCCTGCTTTCTCCAAACTCTTCACCCTTTTGTGAATAGCCCTGTTTAAAATTTTTGTACAAATACTTGTACTGCCAATGTCAAGCGAAGGGTTGACCCTAACCCTATGGTGCGCTTTTCACTGGCAAGCATGTTGTCTAATGCTTGTAAAAATTACACTTGGTGTGATTTAAAGGTAGCGGACTCCCATGTAAGGTTCTCTCTCTTGCAGTAATGTAGTAATATTTTGAAGGTACAAGGACAGTGTTGAACATGTACAGTGTGTACTGTTAGTGGGCTCAGACTCTAACCATGCCTCTTTAAACCAATGTGCAGTTCTTCGCAGCTATGCCCAGTTTTGTCCGCAGCGTCATTTTCCCTGCATGCTTCAGAGACCCAGTTCACCCTTATATGCAATGCCATTGTCCTGACACATGAGGTATAAAGGCATCCAGCCAGTGTCATCAAGTATAGAAGGAATGAGCAATGTATGTGTACTGCCTTTTTTCAGTTTTTATTCTTTTTTTTCCTTATTAAAGACAATACATTTTGATGGCAACATACATTTGGAAGGAACAACACCATGCGGCAAGCTCTTGGCTAAAATATTTGCAGCACGCTGGAACCAAGCGTAAAAAAAAGTGTGCGTCTTGCAGAGCACTTCATACTGCTGGAAAAAGTAGGCCATTTGAACATTTTGGTGCCTCCTTGTAAATGTAGGATTTTCTTTTCCTACAGCTAATCTATACTTCAAATAATTTTGGTTTCTGGCTTAGCTTTCAGATCTGTCATCCATATCAGCTAAGCAGTGTTTGTCTATTTCCTCTGGGCAGGATTGGGCAACACAAAATCCCATTACTGATTTTTGCAGGGAACCCTCACTTCTGAGGGTTCTGAGTAAACCCTTCAATAATGCTCATCAGTATAAACACAACATTAACATAATAGGACCAAATGTGTGTGCATAAAGCAACATGTAGCTAATATACTCATTTTGCTTATGCTTCCATTAGTGCAATGAGGAGGAAGGAAATGAGCATTCATGAGTAAACGTAAGAGATGGTGCTACAGAAGCTGTGAATCTGGTGGTGGCTGCTACCATAGCTATCTTTTAACTATGACAGTGTGTGTGTGTGTCTGTGTGTGTGTGTGGGTGGTACATCAGATTCATGTTTATAATGACATAACTGTGGGTGTATAGTTGTATTCTAGCTGCAGCAGCTTTCACTTTTCCTTTGTGGCCCTCCATGCGAAGACCAGTTTAGGACCTCCTGCCTCAAAACTGAATCTAGAGAAAGAAATAGAGGAAACTGCAAATTCAGACAGAACATAAACCATAGGTTTGGACCTCAGATGGGATCTCACAATAAATGTTCTCAATATTAATAGTGCCGTAGGGGGTCTATTCTATTTTGCAGGTTCCAGACAATGGCAAACTGTTTAGGGTGTGCTCCACTTGTATGAAATGAGAGCTTAACACTTTCTACATGACAAAATATCCACCAAATCACTGAAAATATTTACTTGCATGTTCCAAAATGTCCTGAAAGCTGCAAGCTCATTCAGCACTAATTCCCAAATTAATAATCCTAGGTAATATTTCCGGAAGTATGCAGGTGCACAGTGGGTGTGCTTACTGTGGGCCTGGCTTGGTAACAACAAGACACTGTAACCCAGGCTTTCTCATACATTTTAACAGAGGGAACCATTGTACTCATATTTAGGAGAAAGGGTTTCCTGAAACCTGAACATATCTACAGCTTATGAGACATTATAGTGAACCGTAAGTTGTAAAAGGGATAAAGAGAAGGAAAGTGGCCTGCCATATTTGACACCCAAGGGTGCTCTGTACAATACATTTTTAGTAATTGTCAAAATGAAAAAAGTGGTGGTGATGAAAATTTTAGTGCACCCTTACATGAAGGTCAGTGGAAAAGTATACCATTTACATCAGGACTGGACAAATCTTACTGGAGCTAGAAAACCGAACTAAAAATTATGAGCGAGCAAAATACAGCCAGTTGTCATGGTGATCAGTGTTTTCCCATGTTATTTAATGTGACCGAGTCAAAAGGTTTTTAAGCCATTTCCAATGCTGATTAAGTCATTTACAATTGATTCTGCTCCTTTTGATGTTTAAAAGTTTTAGCTTCCTGCAGAATCCGCTAATCCTTTGAGCACTGGTCCTGATATCCTGTTTTAGTGTGGCTTCTTTCCCTTGCAGGGTCCTATGGAGTGTTAGTAAGCTGTGCATGTCTCCACAGGCACTACAAGGCAAGACACACCACTGCTCTGTTATCCTCTTCAAGCTAGTAGATGGAGAGCTGCTGGACACTGTGTTGTCCCATGTGTCTTGTACTAGACAGGAAGTTCAGGGAAGTGGATCTGAGAGTTGGAGCGGTTTGGAAACATGATGACTAAGTGCTTTGGCAAACATGTTATTAAATACTTTGCTGGGGAATGTATATTTCTTTGGATGTGGATTTATTCGTGAAAAGTTTGTGTTTTTAATACTACGTTACCTGGCATAGTTACACGTTTACAACTTGCTAAGGTGTCTGTAAACCTGTAGAACCGACAGACAAATCCTGAATCCCATTGTCCTGGTTTTTTGGGGCATTTTCACTTCCTTTTACTAAGGATGTACGCACACAATACATTTGTGCATAGTGTCCCCTGCATGTGAGGACACAATAAATTTGTGCATAGTGTCCCCTGCATGTGAGCACACAATAAATGTGTGCATGGTGTCCTCTGCATGTGAGCGCACAATAAATTTGTGCATAGTGTCCCCTGCATGTGAGTACACGTAAAGCATAGAATCCCCTGAATGCCAATACATGCAACTGCCCCCTTCTACTGGTGCTTAGTGGGAAGATGTCTCTTTACAGTGGTCATCAGTAGGAAGAATGCCACCCTTGCATATACCTAAGCAGATCTCAGGTGTCAGCGGTTTATCTGAGAGGCACAAACTGCTTATTGTTTAGGATCCTCTCCTAACAACCTTTCAACTTCTTGAAGAAACCCTGGTTGATTGCTTAGCCAGTATACACACTGCTTGGTCTCCTTACAAATGACGCTCACTGCCAACTATTCACTTTTTTTGCAGCACCCTGTTCTTTGCTATCCTTGATATAGTTTGGTGTATTCTTCATTACCCCTGAAGATCTGTAGTTTTGGTTTTGTTGATGGCTATCACTTTATGTAAATGCGTGTGCATAATTTTTGAATTATTGGATTTGCAGTGTCACCAATACAGTGTGTGAAGTCTGCTCCCTTGCTTCCCACTGGGCCAGCTGGCAGGCAGGTGACAAAATGGCCAAAGTATCAAACCGTGAAGTTGAGTTCAGATTCAAAGGTAATCAGTGACTGGGACAAACCAGAGCATCTTGACACACAAAATAATATCTACTACGTAACCATGTAAGAAAGTCCTACAAAATGTCTATTTTTTATTTTTTTAAAGGGGCACTTTTTCCTGGCCATAAGTGTTGAGTGCCTGTGAATGTTTTATTATGCACTTTTTCTTTGTATTGTTGCCCACCCCACATGTGCCCATCTACATTATTATTCCCCACCTTGTACCTATCTAGGGTCTAGATATTGATCAAGTGGCTTGCCCCTTCCCTTTTTCTATCTTGGTAGTAAGTGTGATGAGACCATGATACACCGCTAAAGTGACACTAAACTCTGGGGATAAATCTTAAAAATGCATCCAAGTACCTTAGCTATGAACACAATGCATCTTATTTGTATATCACTCAGCTGTAGATCCTCAAACCCTCTCTAAATTGGTGCAGGCACTGTCCTTCCTTCTGAAGGGTGGCTACTTTTGTTCCCCATTGTCCGTGTGTGTTAAGTAGCCATCATTCCAAGCGCACTCCTGTGATGGATTACAATCTCGGGTTTAGTTTGCTACAATCTTGTATCAAGATTGTAGTGTTATCAAGGGAGCGAGCTTGGAGTTGTGGCTACTTTTACAACACACACTGAACCATGGGGAACAAAAGTAGCCACCTTCCAGAAGAAAGGGCAACGTCTGCATGTATTCAGAGATGATTTGAGGATCTACTGCCCAGTGATAAACAAGATACATTTTTGTTAATAGTTAAGGTACTTGAATGCATTTTTAAGATTTAACTCCTTACTTTAATGTCACTTTAATAACTATTGTAACATTTCTCCCTAAAATACATGTTTGCTTTTCTGACTAGCTTTCGTGTTACACCCATATTTAGGGTGTAAACAGAAACATGGTCACATCACACTCCTCTCCTGTGCCCTCTATATGCCTGGATTACAGGGTTCTTCTCCCCACAGGCTTGTGTTTTTTAAAAGTTGGTGCAGCTGTACATAACTACACTTGCACAGCTGCATCGCCAAATCCTTTGACTGGATCTGTGAATAGAGAAACTACAAGTTCTATCGTTCACCGTGGCAGATGAACGTGCAATACAAGTAGTGACTTTGCCACGCTTGTAGTCCACTCATTCTTTCATCCATGTTACTGAATGTCCATACTCGGCGTAAGGCTGGCAATGGGAAGGGGTGCTGATGGTGGAGCATGCAGGAGTAGGGTAGAGGGGCTCTTCACGACCTGGGATGCTCTGGCCATCTCTGGTAGCCAAGCGGGACTCTGAAAATAGCTGCCTAAGTTGCTAAGAGCCGGGGGCGAGGAGAGATGTATGGCCCTTACACATCTCCCCTCCCAATTCTTAGCAACGTGGGCCGTGTGACAATAATGTAAGCCAATTATTGCTACCGATGATTTGTCTGTGCTGCATAAAATTTTATTTTATGGTTGCTGGTATGCTGCTAGTGGGTGAAGAGGAATGCCGCTGCATATCTATATTTTTGTGGTAGCTAATGTTCCATGAAGGTCTTCCATTTATACTCCTACATCACCTCATAGAAAAGGAACATCGTTAAGTAAATGGCTGCATTGTACAATATACTTTTTTTTATTGCCATCAACCATCACATCAGATTTAGATATTTGTATGGTCTGTTGTATTGTCTTCTACTCTGTCTTGGAAAAGAAAAATCACAATGCAGTAAAAGTGTATCTCGTCTAGCCAAACCTTTTTTAGTTTTAGATTGGAGCAAGGCATGGTTAAATCTCTCTCTCTCTCTCTCTCTCTCTCTCTCTCTCTCTCTCTCTCTCTCGATAGATAGATAGATAGATGGAGATCTATAGATATACTTTTTTTTTTTAGAGTAGGGATCCCTAATGGGGGGGCATAATAGCCATAGCAGTCACATTGGCTGCTTTTGCTATTATGCCACTAGCGCTAAACTGTCCATTTGTATTAGTCTGAGTTCTCTTTAATGTACTGTAGCCAGATTCCAGAGGTTTTTTTTGCTTGTAGGGTAGGTAGTTCTTCAAACCTGTGCTGTGCAATACATTTCCGTATAATGGATGATTCTGATTAGTGATGCAGCAAACAAAAACTTTGTACTCTGGTGTCTCTAGGCGGCGAAAGGGGGGTGGTTGGTTAGGGCGATGTGGGGACAGGGGTCTTGGCAGATGCACCCACAGCTTGCATTTGAGCAGACCCTTCTGGTCCAAGGTATGACTGCCAGACCCCACGGATGCCAGCTGGGCTGTGCAGGGAAGAGGTAGCGGCAGCTGGACCGAGCGGGTTTGGCGCATTCCTCTTCAGTCGCTGCCTCCTTCTCAGCAGCAGAGCCAAGTTGGCATTGGACAGGGGGAAGAGAGCATGGCCAGCAATTGGGTGCCATCAGCAGCCACTGGGCACTCCTTCTCAGCTGCTGATGGCTTTACCATGGGCTGATGAGAGGGCAATGAGGTGGGAGCACGTGATGCTTCCACAGAGATGATTAGTGCTTTGTTAGGAAGATTCCAGAGCAGCAAATCTTGCGTTAATAAAGGACAGCAGAGCAGCCAGTGTATAACAAGCCTGCTGCCACCCCCCACATGACCAAAAGAGATGCCATGCAACAGCCATTATAGAGATGTCCCTGTTTGTACTCACTTTGATATTACACATAAGAAACCGCATGGAGCATTCAGTGGAAGTGTTTGGGAATACCTTTTTTCTGTATTATAAAACAGGTAAACATGAGGGAATTCCAGATCTCCTTTAGATTTTACAAAAGTAGGGTCTTTCCAGTATGCATCTCTAGGGTTAATTTTATCTTAAGTTTTCCTTTTTATAGACTTTCAAAACCTACTGTTAGGAAGCATCAACGCACATATGGTTAGTCTTAATGTGCCTTATTCACTGCATTGCAGCTGCACTAAAGCAGCAGGTTACTGCATTAGGCAGCATGTGTACTGAAATGTGTAATTTGCCTGTCAGGCAGTGCGTATCTTAAGAATGGCACATCACAGCTGTCAGTTGCTATGTCTTAGAATTAGTATTTTGCCACCATTACAAGTGGGAAGACATTTGTACAGGCTGAACACAAAAACAAAACATTTGTCAGTATCCATT